TAGGTTACAGTTTGGTGTGGACTTTAAGAGCGCGGACTCTAATCAGGGAGAACCGGGTTTGATTCCCCCACTCCTCCACATGCAGCTGCTGGTGTGACCTTGGGTCAGTCACAAGCTCTCTCAGAGCTGTCCTCTCAAGGGCAGTCCTCAAAGGAGCTCTGATCTATGGCAGCCCTGTAGGCTTTCCAAGGCAAGAGACGTCTAGAGGTTGTTTGTCATTGCCTGCCTCTGCGTAGCAACCCTGGACTTCCCTGGTGGTCTCCCATCCAACTACTCACCAGGGGTGACCCTCCGTAGCTTCCAATATCTGACAAGATTCACCTAGGCTGGGCCATCTTCGTCAAGGCGAGAGGTGAACAGAGGTGGTTTGCCACTGCCTGCCTCTGCGTAGCAACCCTGGACTTCCCTGGTGGTCTCCCATCCAACTACTCACCAGGGGTGACCCTCCGTAGCTTCCAATATCTGACAAGATTCACCTAGGCTGGGCCATCTTCGTCAAGGCGAGAGGTGAACAGAGGTGGTTTGCCACTGCCTGCCTCTGCGTAGCAACCCTGGACTTCCCTGGTGGTCTCCCATCCAACTACTCACCAGGGGTGACCCTCCGTAGCTTCCAATATCTGACAAGATTCACCTAGGCTGGGCCATCTTCGTCAAGGCGAGAGGTGAACAGAGGTGGTTTGCCACTGCCTGCCTCTGCGTAGCAACCCTGGACTTCCCTGGTGGTCTCCCATCCAACTACTCACCAGGGGTGACCCTCCGTAGCTTCCAATATCTGACAAGATTCACCTAGGCTGGGCCATCTTCGTCAAGGCGAGAGGTGAACAGAGGTGGTTTGCCACTGCCTGCCTCTGCGTAGCAACCCTGGACTTCCCTGGTGGTCTCCCATCCAACTACTCACCGGGGTGACCCTACGTAGCTTCCAATATCTGACAAGATGTGCCTAGGCTGAGCCATCTCCGTCAAGGCAAGAGGTAAACAGAGGTGGTTTGCCACTGCCTGCCTCTGCGTAACAACCCTGGACTTCCTTGGTGGTCTCCCATCCAACCAGTCACCAGGGCTGACCCTCCGTAGTTTCCAATATCTGACAAGATTTGCCTAGGCTGGGCCATCTTCGTCAAGGCGAGAGGTGAACAGAGGTGGTTTGCCACTGCCTGCCTCTGCGTAGCAACCCTGGACTTCCTTGGTGGTGTCTCATCCAACTACTAGCCCATGCTGACCCAATGTAGCTTCTGAGATCTCATGAGACTGGGCTCGTCTGGGCAATCCAGATCAGGATTCCACGTTCTACATTAGCTACTGGGGGGGGGATGTTTAAGTGTTTTCCTAATGTTGCTGTGTTCATTAGTTGCTGTAGACTTTCCGGGTTGTCTGGCTGTGGTCTTGGCATTGTAGAACCTGACTTTTCGCCAGTTAACTGTGACTGGAATCCTCAGAGGTATAACACAGAAAGCTGTAGTACTCTCTGTGTCAAGCTGAGAAGTAAAATGGTAGGCAGGTAATTTATCTCTACTCAGGAAGGTGGGGTAGGGCGGAGTCATTCTCTTGTAGGCGTTCCCCAGGGTATGAACATGCTAATGGAGGAGCTTTCCTGAGGAGGTTCTTTTGTATATGGATTTTTTTTTTCCTGAGGAGGTTTCCTGTTTCCCGAGGAGGTTCTTTTGTATGTGGATTGGCTGTTGAAATTCTAATCTTCTCTGTAGTGCTATTGTCAGATGTAGAGCCTTTTGTGTTTTTCAGGACAGGAAACCATGCCCTATTTATTCTTAAACTCTCTTCCTTCCTGTTGAAATGGTGTTTATGTTTATGAATTTCAATGGCTTCCCTGTGTAATCTGACTAGGTAATTGGAAGTGTTGTCCAGTCTTTCAGTGTCTTGGAACAAAAGCCTTCGACAACATGTTGCTGTGGTCCTTTTTTGAGTGTTTGTGTGTGTTTGCCTGTGTGCTACTCGCTCATGCATTTGGTTGCCGCTATAACGTCGCTGCCTGACGTCCCTTATGTTTTGACGGTTTCACCGATTTATACTGCACCGTCGTTTTTGTTGCAGCGGGTGTAGCCCATCGATCCGCTTTCAGTTTGCTCATTGGCAAGAACCGTTGGATTGAGGGGCAGGGAGAAATTAACACTCTGTGACATGCCAGAACTTCTTACCCCGATCAAACAAAACGCACATCGATCTGTATTTAAATAAGAAAAAGCCCTTTATTCCATTGTTACCCTTCGGAAGGGGGGGGCAGAGAGGTCTCGGGGTTCCCAACCTCTTCCTGTTGAAGGCACGGCTGGCGGGAAGACGCAGGGCAGAGACGGAACACCTTCCGAGCCCGAGAAGTCCCAAATGCGAGGTTCGCTCGGGCCTGGTGCTGCCCCAGACGCACAGACAGAACGCAAGAGCCGCTTGCACAGGCAACTCACGAGCAACCTGTAACTCTTACCAGCTGTGACTGTCAGGATCCGGGCAAGGCAGCCGACACAGAGCCGAGCTTTCAGGTAAGTAGGGGTCCAAGGGAAGTTATGTTTTCGGCAAAGGCAGTGTCTGAGGGGCGCAAAAGGAAGCCCCCGTTCGGCAACTGGGATCTGAAGTTTTGCATATATCATCTGTCTGTGCATAAATTCATGCCAACGTCAGGATTTCTAACGTTTGGGATTTTCCAGCAAGAACTCGGGGAAAGGGAAGGAAGGAAAAATAGACCACGGGGCCGGTAGCACCCATAAGAGGCCCCGATCCTGTCACCGCTGGAAAACTAGAGTTGCCAACCTCTAGATGGGACCTGGAGATCTCCCGCTTTTACAACTGATTATAGAATCACAGAGTTGGAAGGGACATAAGAACATAAGAGAAGCCAATGTTGGATCGGGCCAATGGCCACATCCAGTCCAACACTCTGACACACGGTGGCCAAAAATACCAGGTGATATCAGGAGGTCCAGCAGTGGGGCCAGGACACTAGAAGCCCTCCTACTGTTGCCCCCCCCCAGCACCAAGAATACAGTGCATCACCTGACCCAGCCTGTGAGTTCCTATCTATACCTTGTGGCTGAGAGCCACCGATGAACTTCTGCTTCGTATGCTTATCTAATCCCCTCTTGAAGGCGTCCATACTTGTAGCTGCCACCACCTTCTGTGGCAGTGAATTCCATGCGTTAATCACTCTTTGGGTGAAGAAGGACTTCCTTTTATCTGTTCTAACCCGACCACTCACCGCTTCCATAACCCATCACCCACCAGCCTCCCGGTCCCTTGCCAAGTTGCTAGCCTCCAGAGCAAACAGCAAACTGCTTCTCCTCTCCCACACCATTCTGCCCGAATTCTCACCTAACGTGAGAATTCAGTCTGCCTGAATTTTCGCCTAATGTGAGAATACAGTCTGCCCGAATTCTCACCTAACGTGAGAATTCAGTCTGCCCGAATTTTCGCCTAATGCGGGAATTCAGTCTGCCCGAATTCTCAACTAACACAGTTCATTGCAAGCATTTGTTGCTAAGACTCCTACCCGACAAAACAAAGCTTACGGCATTGTGAGCAGTCAAAGGGAACCAGGACAACGCTAATGGGCACGGAGGAGAGGGAGGACCACTGGTAGGTAGGGCTGCCAGCTCCACGTTGGGAAATTTCTGGAGATTTTGGAGGTGGAACCTGGGGAAGCTAGGATTTGGAGAGGGGAGGGACCACAGCATGGTATGATACTATAGAGTCCACCCTCCGAAGGAGACATTTTCTCCAGGGGAACTGATCTCTGTGGTCTGGGGATCAGTTGTGATTCCGGGAGTTCTCCAAGCCCCACCTGGAAGTTGGCAACCCTACTGGTAGTCCAAGAGGGTTCGTAAGTATTTGTGTGCAGGAGGCTGGGCTGCGCCTTCCAGGATGAGGTACACAAGGTTCACTTGTCCACCGGAGCAGTAACAGACGTCGCCACTAGAGGACACTGCACCCTTTGGAAAACAGTCTCAAGACCCATGTGACTCCATGACAAACCAGTTCATGGACACCATCCAACCCTTGAGCTCCGGTAGAAGAGGAAGAGGAGGGATTATCCCACGAGGTTGTGCAAAACAAGGAGGTAGCTAATCGCAGTCCACCACTTCTCAAGCCGCTTGCATGGTCAGAACTATGCTCTCCATAAACCGGCAGTCGTAGGGGGTCTAGACGGCGGAAGCCACGGGAAGCGATCCACGGGACAGGCGCAATGAACGTTCTGCCTCGGTGGCTGGTTAAAGGCCCCACCCCTGCAGCCCTTGATGGCATCTCGGTACCGATTCCTTGGGCCAACTCTCCCCCCAGTCCCCCTTCTTCGTTATTGGCAAAACCAGTCCCCTATTATAAAAAGTACTGTCTTTGGTAGCAAAAAATCCCTGCGTTGACCGCAGTAGTGCAAATGAGGAAGATGAGGAAGTCCACCAAGCATCAGCTGGGATCCTCGTCTCCACCGATGTCATTTCTGAAAGTGGCGGGAAGCCAATTGGACTTTCAAACCGGGAACAGGCCTAGAGGAGAAGGAGAGAGACTGTGAGTCAGATGCCAGGAGGAGAAAGAATGGCAGGGTCCAGACCAGTGTTCCCTCTAAGCTGAGTTAGTGTGAGCCAGCTCACAGTTTTTTAGCCTCCGGCTCACAGATTTTCGTCTTAGCTCAGGAAGGAGGGCTCCGGAGCAAACTGATTTATGCAGTAGCCAAATGGCTCGCTCACAACTTGAATGCCAGTAGCTCACAAAGTAGAATTTTTGCTCACAAGACTCCACAGCTTAGAGGGAGCATTGGTCCAGACACGAGCTCGGGGGTATCTGCCAGGTTGCTGACTGGGACTGACTCGCCAACGCTCTTATGAACCTGCCTTGACCACTACTATCATCTGTGGAGGCCCTGCTTTGCGTGTTCCTGCCTTCTGGCAACCTGGGAGAGGGACTTCTCAGTGGTGGCCCCAAAGCTCTGGAACTCACTCCCCAGGGAGGTTCGTCTGTCCCCTTCTGTTGCCATCTCCCACCAGTGGGAGAAGACTTTTCTTTTGCTTGGCATTCTGTCAGTGATTCCTTCTTCCTAACCAATGTTTTCATTGCTCCTTTTTATGTCTTGGTATGTATTTTAACTTTTTCGATTTGTTTTAATGATGCATGTTGGGGTGGGGGGGGAGCTGATTTCAATGGCTTTAAAATCTGATTTTATACTGTACATTTTAAATCGTTAGCTCCCTTGGTGGCCCTTGTAAGGGCAGAAACTCCAGATAATAATTTGGTAAACAACGGGGAAAAAAGAACAATAAAAACAACAGTGACAACAACAACGTAACAGAAATTAGCGGTTGTAGATTTTCCGGGTTGTCTGGCTGTGGGCTTTGCATTTTAGGGCCTGACGCGTCAGCCGCTGTGACTGGCTTCCTCAGAGGTATAACACAGAAAGACGGAGTCCTCTCTGTGTCAAGGTGAGAAGGAAAATGGTAAGCAGGTAATTTATATCTATTCCGGAAGGTGGGGTAGGGCTGTCATTATACTTCTGAGGATGCCAGTCACAGTTACTGGCGAAACGTCAGGTCCTACAATGCCAAGACCACGGCCGGACAACCTGGAAAATCTACAACAGCTAATGAACTCTGGCCGTGAAAACCTTCGACAACATAACGTAACAGAAAGTCAGACCAATGTCTCTCAAGCCAACTACTTTCAGCCCTAAAGGCCAAACGTGATACAATAGTAGCCCGTCAATAAATGGGGATTTGCGTGTAACACCTTAGAAGCCAATGAAATTTGGCTGATTCTTTTCTATTTGTACCTGAGCACTCCCATTGGAGCTTTGAGCATTGCAGACTCGGCCTAAGTAGATCCAGGGGCATATGAAATATTGTACATCTTGATGAGTTGCCCATGTTGCATCTCATGGAATCACAGAATCACAGAGTCGGAAGGGGGCATACATGCCATCTCGTCCAACCCCCTGCTCAATGCAGGACCAGCCTCATACACTGAAATTCTCATGCTCCAAGAGGCTCCTGGACTCAGCTAGTTCTACTGATAGAGCAGGAATCTTGGCTATAAAGATCTGGCCTGAAGAACTTTCGCTAGGAGATATGCCTGCCCCCAGCCAAGCCCACAGAAATGCTGGCCAGCTTTCCGCTCGCGTTCAAGTATGTTTTAAAACCCAACGAATGTGGGTGTCAGAATCGGACCCTTGGTTTGGGATCAGTCTGGATACGCACTGGTGTTCTGATGTACCTAGCTAATTGTACAAAGCTCTCTCAGTTCCGCAGGGCCTGCAAGACGGAGCTCTTCCGCCAGGCCTTTGGATAGGAGCCGCCGCCACTGTTATGCCCCAGCGAATTAACATCGGATTGCCTGGCCCCTAAGGGTGGAACGTGGTGCTAAACACGGCTCTAGGATAAGATCATTGGTAGCTATGTGAGATAAGATCTTCCTCTTCTGGTTTGAAACTTGTTGGAATGTTGTTGTAAATTGTTCATATTTTATTGTAACTTATTGTTTTAAATCATATTGTATTGTTTTAATCGGACACTTAGTCCCCTGTAAGCCGCCCTGAGCCTCCGGGGTAGGGCGGGGTATAAATCTAAATATAAATAAATAAATAAATAAACATATACTCCCCTGTAAGCCGCCCAGAGCCTCCGGGGTAGGACGGGGTATAAATTTAAATATAAATAAATAAATAAATAAAAATAATTGCCCTGCTTGCTTGCATACTATCCCAAAAGCTTTATCTTTGTATTCTCACACTGGCTTCTTGTTCTCAGGCTGACTGTAACACCTGCTAGCTATGAATCGACTATTATACAAAGTCCTCCTCTGACATTCCCAGGACAAGGGGGTAGTTGAGACATGCTTGGTTGTTTATTGTAGATAGTGCGCTTGGTACTCTTTTATGAGAAACCTCCTCCACAATGGCCAGGAGATTGTTCGCTTCTCATGATGTCCCTTGGCCTTGCAGGAAGTCCACTAGATAAACATTCTCACAGTTTTAATTGTACTTTGTTAACCTGTCTCTATCACATGTAACCATGACGTATGAATGTGGGCCGCACCAAAGTTCTCGTAAGAGCTAAACTTGAATTACCTGCCAGTACTGTCAAAGCCTTTGATTCACCTGTAACTTTCCTGATTGCTAATAAAATCCATATATGGACTTATTGCGTCTGAGAGTTACTGCAGAGTCTTACAGTGGGCTAAAGCAAAATCACGTTCCCGTGGGACTTTGCATCTCGCTTAATCTGGGCCGCTACCCCTGCAAAGCGGCAACACGGTGTCTCGTTAACATCTGTGAAATTTTAGGTGGCTTTCATTTCTTTAATTGTTGCTGAACTTATACGTCGCATAGCGTCTCTGAATCTGTAATCGTGTTTTTTGTGTGTGTTGTTGCACACATTATCCTGTTCGGACGTAGACATTCTACCAATTTTCATGCAACGTTCTCCAGTTCCGTAATCCCGTTCCACAGCTCTGTTTGTTGCTTCTGTTACAGCGTCCGGTATTGCACTGAGCAATCTGCTTTGCGTCTCGGTGGAAAAAGCAGACTATACATGAAGCCCACAAATCAATCGATAAAACAAACGAGTCTCTGTGCAAACCGCTAAATCTAAATTCTGCCTCGAGCCTGCTTTGGGGAATAGCAGTGGATCACAAACAGGGCCTCTCCTTATAGCAGTCACAAGGTGATACTCACCTCTGTGGTGGCGCCGATCTGTGGAGAGGAAAAGAGAGGACAAAGACATCACTTAGCGGTCTGGATTTGCAGTTGGATGCTCCCGCTTCCTGATTTTCTGGCATTTTTTCTTCCAAAATATCAACTTTTCTGGATCCTTCAAGATTTGGGGGTTTCACCCACACCCCTCACAGGCTCAGAAAGCTTAGGGACTCATAGCATCTCAGAGTTGGAAGGGGGGCTGCAGGCCATCTAGTCCAAACCGCACCCTGCTCAATGCAGGATCAGCCTACAGCATCCCTGACCAGTGTTTGTCCAGCCGCTGCTTGAAGAAAGCTTAGGGACTCATAGCATCTCAGAACTGGAAGGGGGGCTGCGGGCCATCTAGTCTAAACCCCACCCTGCTCAATGCAGGATCACGAGCCATCTAGTCCAAACCCCACCCTGCTCAATGCAGGATCAGCCTAGAGCATCCCTGACCAGTGTTTGTCCAGCCGCTGCTTGAAGACTGGCAGGGAGGGGGAGCTCACCACCTCCCTAGGCAGCCGATTCCACTGTGGCACAAGTCTGACTGTCAAAACGTTTTTCCTAAGATCCAGCTGGTACCTTCCCACCCTGAATTTAAACCCATTCTTGCAAGTCCTCTCCTCCGCTGCCAACAGGAACAGCTCCCTGCCCTCCTCTGACAGCCCTTCAGAGACTTAAAAAGAGACCAATCATGTTCCCCCCCCCAACCTCCTCTTCTCCAGACTATACATTCCCAAGTCCCTCAACCTTTCCTCACAGGACTTGGTCTCCAGGCCCCCAATCATCCCCATCGCTCCCCTCTGCACCCGCTCCATTCTGTCCACGTCCTTTTTGAAACGGGCTTCCAGAACTGAACCTCCAGATCAAATTTCATAAACTGCACCTTCCAGAACTGCACCTCCAGATCACATTTCATAAACTGAGGGCCAAATTAGACATTACGGTCTCCTCAAGTACAGTGTTCCCTCTAAGCTGAGTTAGTGTGAGCTAGCTCACAGTTTTTTAGCCTCCGGCTCACACATTTTTGCCTTAGCTCAGGAACAGACGGCTCCAGAGCAAACCAATTTATGCAGTAGCCAAATTGCTCGCTCACAACTTTAATGCCAGTAGCTCACAAAGTAGAATTTTTACTCACAAGACTCAACAGCTTAGAGGGAACATTGCTCAGGTACGACCCACAGACGCCGATGCCTTTTTTAAAAAACAGCTAATTTAAAAATGCTACAAGGGCCCAATCTTGCAATCTTGTCCCCCCCCCTGCCTTTCCAAGTGCTGAAACGGCATCCTCATTAATGTAAATAGTTAAAGTGTATTTCTCCAGACTTCCTTTAAGGATAGACACAAAATCTAAGGTTAGCCCGGAAGGTGGAGGAAGAATTTGCCAGGACACGAATCTGTTTTCCCCTCGGTTTCTGCTGCCCATGGATATCTCTGCAACGCCCCCTCCCCCTGGGCCGTTTCTCTACCCATCACGAGGGTTCACCGGCAACTTACTTGAGCGGTTTGGAGGCAGGACTCGTGGAACCGATACCAGCCGGCTTAAAGTTGGTGGGCGGCACCATGACCAGCAAGGCCTGACCCGGAGCCGACGGCCGCTCCTTCGCCAAAAGGGGGTTCCCTGGCAGAGGCCTGCGAGGCGGCCTTTGGCTCGGATTGACCTAGCCGGGAAGAGAACAGGACAAGATGGAATTATTTCCACGGGGCTTAAAAGGTAAAGGTAAAGGTTCCCTTGCTCGAAAGCCAGTCGAATCCGACTCTAGGGTTGCGGTGCTCATCTCCGTTTCCAAGCCGAAGAGCCAGCGCTGTCCGAAGACGTTTCCGTGGTCATGTGGCCGGCATGACTAAACACCAAGGTGCACGGAATGCTGTTACCTTCCCACCGAAGTGGTACCTATTGATCTACTTGCAATGTCTTGCTTTCGAACTGCTAGGTTGGCAGGAGCTGGAACTAGAGACGGGAGCTCACTCCGTCATGCGGCACCCGGGTCTCGAACTGCTGAACTACCGACCTTCCACAGCCTGCAGTTCAGCGTCTTAACCACTTGAGCTTAGACACTGGGAAATCAGCGTTGAGTAAAATATCTCTGTACCAGGAGGGTGCGGGCTCAGCCTTTTCCTCCTGAGCCAACTCATAGCTAGGAAATTCCTGGAGATTTTGTGGGTGGAGCCTGGGGAGGGCTGGGTTTCAAGAGCGGAGGGACCAGCGTCCCCTCTAAGCTGAGTTAGCGTGAGCCAGCTCACGGCTTTCTAGCCTCTGGCTCGCACACATTTTTGTCTGAGCTCGGGAAGGAGGGCTCCAGAGCAAACTAATTTATGCAGCAGCCAAATCGCTCGCTCACAACTGTAATGCCAGTAGCTCACAAAGTATAAATTTGTAAAGAACCAAAGTCCTTATATGTATATTCCCCCAGGTACATGATGAAATTCTCCAGAGTAAACTCCCATTTCGTAGAAAACTTCTTCTGAACATCAACTGGTCAATTGTGTCGTTCCTTATTGTGTAGATACCAATCTTTTCCTTACACGGGCACTCCAAAATCCTGACCCATGACATGTAAACAATTCTTACGATTCTTACAGAGTTCTCACAAAGCGGGCAAGCTAATCCATACAGCCTTAACGGCACCTGTAGAAGTTTTCTACGAAACAGAAGTTTACTCCAGAGAATTTCGTCATCATGGCTCTGTGAGGACTTCTTCTTTGACCGTACACCTGGAGGAATATACATATAAGCACTTTGGTTATCCCGTCTGTGGCCCCAGCAGTTCGAAAGCAAGAAATTGCAAGTAAATAAACTGGTACCGCTTCGGTGGGACGGTAGCAGCGTTCCGTGAGCTTTGGTGTTTAGTCATGCCGGCCACGTGACCATGGAAATGTCTTCGGACAGCGCTGGCTCTTCGGCTTGGAAACGGAGATGAGCACCGCACCCCTAGAGTCGGATTCGACTGGCTTTCGAGCAAGGGAAACCTTTCCCTTGACTTTACTTGTCTATATAGGGGCTGTTTTATGTAATATAAGCACTTTTTGTACGGTTTCCTTTGTGTCTTTGCTTGTTAGTAGCTCACAAAGTAGCATTTTTTGCTCACAAGACTCCACAGCTTAGAGGGAGCATTGGGAGGGACCTCAGTGCAGCATAATGCCATGGAGACTATCAGGGCTTTTTGGAGGGGGAGCGTTGCCGGAACTCTCAAGAGAGAAATGAAGTTTTCAATCCGTATACTGAAAACTCATGAACTTTTAAACGTTTTCAAAAGAATTCAGTCGAAGAGGTTCCCGAACTCCCTTCCGGCACATTCCCCCAGAAAAAAAGCCCCGGAGACGACACTCCAAAGCAGCCATCTTCTCCAGGGGGGACTGGTCTCTGTTGTCTAGAGAGCAGTTGGAATACCCGGAGATCTCCAGGCCTTGCCTGGAGGTTGACAACCCTAGCCCCACGAAACTCAAATATGGGTTTTTTTTGCCAAGTCTGGGTGTCAAAATTCCTGGAGATCTGGGAGTGAAAGTAAGAAGAGGAAGTGATTGGATTTATACCCCGCCCTTCACTACCCAAAGGAGTCTCAAAGCGGCTTCCAAACTCCTTTCCCTTCCCCTCCCCACAACACACCCTGTGAGGTAGGTGGGGCTGAGAGAGCTCTGACAGAAACTGCTCTTTCTCAAGAACAGCTCTTATCAGAACTAAGGCTTGCCCAAGGTCATCCAGCAGGTGCAAGTGGAGATGTGGGGAATCAAACCCGGTTCTCCCAGATTAGAGTACGCGCACTTAACCACTATACCAAGCTGGCTCTCCGAGTCTCAGAGCGGCTTACAAACTCCCTTCCCTTCCCCTCCCCACAACAGACACCCTGGGAGGTAGAAGAAGAAGAAGAGATTGGATTTATACCCCGCCCTTCACTACCCAAAGGAGTCTCAGAGCAGCTGACAAACTCCTTTCCCTTCCCCTCCCCACAACAGACACCCTGTGAGGTCGGTGGGGCTGAGAGAGCTCTGACAGGAAGTACTCTTTTTTCAAGGGCAGCTCTTATCAGAACCATGGCTTGCCCAAGGTCACACCAGCAGGTGCAAG